CCCTTGATAGTTTATAAATGGGTATTTTGTCATATCTTGCCCCCGTGGGAAATATTTATGCATATGCTCCGTTGTCACATAACCAGGAGAAAGCCCAGGCGTTCTACTCCTATAAAGAGTTACAGTCTCAGCAACCCAGAGGGGCCAGTTCTACCCTGGCCTGTCAGGTCGCAACGAGTCGGCATCAGTTCGATGGGAGTGCGTGGGTGCGCAGCTGGCAGTGACTTAGCACTGATTCTGATACTGTTCTGTCGTCCTATCCTTTGACCCTTCCTCCCGCCTCTGCCCCTCATGCTGCCCTCTTGTGTGTGTGTGTGTGTGACTGCGCTTAACTGAAATTCCATAGGCAGATGTCTGAGAAGTGCAGGTCGACTTGGATTACGTTGTCAGTAATCACTGTATGCTCGGCGAGCTCACCTGAGATGCCCTGCACTAAGGAAAAGAGAAGTGCTAGCATCCTTGTTACACAGTGGGAGACTGTGAGCAGGGCAGCCCTTGTAACTTACCGCAGTGAAGCAAACCAACAGTGAATATTGACTCCCCAAGCAAGAGCTTTACCAAATACTGTGCCTACGAAAAATTCATCATGGTGGTTGTAATTTCTCAGGTGACACACTGAAACAGTTTTTTTGTTATTTGGTGCATTTTGGGTTTCGCTTTCATTTTTAACTGTCTTTTATCAGCTCAACATTTTTACTTTTCTAGGAAAATAATATTCTTTTAGGCCCCCCCAACCTCTGTGTTATTTGTTAAAGAAATTTAAAGATTTATTATTTATTTATATTGCTAAAAACGGGTGTCTTTCAGCCTAGTGATGCGACTTGGGTTGTCATTTAAAAACGCAGTGCTCGATTCTGCCACAAGATGGTACTATTACCAGTGATTTAAATCACAGAAAGTCGGCGTCTTTTTTTTAATCCTATGTCTTGGGAGTATTATAATAGAAATAATTACATTTTTAAGCAGGACAGTTTTTCTTTTTACTCTCTTCTACATAATTTATAATGAAGTAGTTCAAGTGGAAGTACACTGAGCCTTTAAAAGTGCATCGTAACCCCTGCTCCTTTTTCTCCTCACCACCAGGTACCCTGCTGTATCAAAGGAGTCTCATAAAATGTAGCACTTCTTCGTCCCTTTATTGCATGTTTAAATAGCTGAAGCGGACTTCTAAACCTCTTTTTATTTCATAATCTATGTTGATAAACAAGTTCACAATTAGATCTACCAACGACTAAGTCATTCCACCCTTAATACTTGTTTTCGTTGAGCATGATATCCATTTATTTAGTCATTTCCTGGATCTGTAGTCCTTATTTGGTCTTGGGACCCCATTTAAAATCTTAAAAATTGAGAGCCCCAAAGAGCTATTATTCATATGACTTATAAATAAATATAGATCAGAAACTAAAAGTAAAATATATTTTAAAACAATGTGCTTAATAATAAAAATGTAAACACTTACACGGTAACCTGAAACACTTGTTTATGAAAAATAATAAGCGCCCAGATCAAAGTAGTATTTAGCTAGAAGAGTGGCATTGTTTTTTACTGTTTGCCAAACAATTTAATGTCTGACCTAATTTAGGATATCTGAGTGAAGGTACAGTGTATCCAGTTATTCTGGAACATAGATCTGGTGAACATGTGAACAATGTGTGCCGTCCTTGAGGCAATTTGAAGGATAGAATACTGTTTGTTCATCAAGAGGCATCTACATATTATTTAGTCACACGGAAGAAATTGACCAATTTTTGTACCTTTTGAATCAAGTGAGTTGGGTATTAGGTTTTGGCAAGGTTCGAAGCAGAACCAAGAATTGTGAAATTATGACCTATCACAAGATCTCAGGAGCACTGGTGGCTTAATGGTTTTGTGTTGGGTTGTAAAACAAAGCCAGCAGTTCGAAACCACCAGCTGCTCCGAGGGAGAAAGACGAGGCTTTCTACTCCTGTAAAGAGTTAAATTCTCGGAAACCCCAGGAGCAGTTCTCCCCTGTGCCTTGGGGTCACTAGGAGTTGGAGTAGACTCGAGGACCGTGTGTGAGTGAGAGGGGAGAGGGAGTTTTAGGAAAGTGCAGGACATTATGCCTCATAGTCTTACCATAAAGTTTCTTAAATTAGGTTTGAAACACTGATTTCTTTCAGTGTTACCAAACCTTAGTGTTTGCTAAAATTAGTTAATATTTCTGGAGTACGTACATGAAGAGGAAAAAAAAATTCCTAATACTTTTAAGAACACAGAATTCAGTTAAAACTTAATATTTCTGGAGTACGTACATGAAGGGGAAAAAATAAAAAAATTCCTAATCCTTTTAAGAACCCAGATTTCAGTTAAAACTTAATTGGTTATTAAAACCACCTTGGATCATATTAAACATGTTTCAGACACATTCCGTTGGGGATGTCGCTGTGAGCACACAGCAACATTATGTTATTTGTGAATTTTGTTTCAAAACGGGGTGTGAGCCGCAAGAAGCTGCACGCTAAGACTGCGTTCAGTACTTTTGTTCTGATGGGTCTAAAGACGTTTACACAACACATACAACTGTGTTTGATGTCTTGAAATGTAGAGCATTCTCCTTCAGGACTTATAGCAAGGTATTTAAAAGAGGAAGATCGTTGCTATTTTTCTCAAGATATTCCTTCCATTGCTTCAGACAGTGAGTTAACAGTTTTTGTTTTCTCTCGGGCTGTGGCTTGGGCGGTAGCAGCTTAAGCATTGCTCACTCCAGCTAATTAAGACTAATGCCATTGTGTTTCTGCAGCTCCAATTCCTTCTCATTTAGCCTTTCTAACAGAATGCCTGTTAATAAGCAAAGCCATAGAGGAATAAAGGATAAAAATAATTCTGGGCTTCATTAACCATCAGTCTCTGCCGTCTCGCTTCTGTTGTCTTTACGTGGAAAGAATGATTAGTTTAAAAAATGCGTGCACTCCTGAGCCGTTTGTTACGTGTGAGGGAGCCAGCCTAGTACCAGAGACAGAGCTTGAGGTAATTTTTTCTGGGCCGTATGCAAAACACAGACCCGAATACACCTTGCATTGAATGCTGCATATGCACGTTAAAATGTTGTGCGTTGAAAGAGAAAGCAAAAGGACATTTTAGCCGCCCCAGTGCAGCTCGGTCAAATGAACTTGTGAGCATTTAATGTTTTTTTATGGTTACATTGATAGACTGAAATCCCTCTATTGTGGCAACTGGTAAGCAATTTTTGATTAAAAAATTGTGCTAGATTCTATTGATAAGAAAGTCAGCACCCCTGGCTTATGATAGCAATTATTTAATAGTGTTGTGCCAGGATTTCTCTGCATTCAGTGGGAATGCACACTCACTACTTACCAAACCTTTCCCCTCTCACCTGGTCAGCATTAGTATGCTTTGGTCTGCATGCATTTGTCTATTCTTAACATGTCATATAAACTAGATCACACAATATTTGGCCTTTTGTGATTGGCTTACTGGGTGTGGGTTTTGCTTTGGACTGCTATCTGCAGAGTCAGTAGTTTGAATCCGTCAGCGGCTCCGTGGGAGAAACTTGAGGCTTTCTACTCCCCGAAAGGGCCACAGTCTCGGGACCCCTGGGGGCAGCTCTTCTCTGCCCTGTGTGGCTCCGATGTGTCAACTCGATGGCAGTGAGTTTGGAGTTTTTTGGGTAATGTCTTCAAGGTTCCTGCCGTGTGTTTATTTCTCTCTATGGCTGAGTAATGTTACGTGTACATCTGTATGGACCACGTTTTATTTAGAATACGAATTTATTTAAAACTACAACCTTTAGCATGAGCCTCTGCTGAGCTAGCCTGCTCAGGAATCATGGCAAGGTGGAAACGTGTTGCCGTAACAAACGTTACCTTTTCTGCCCCGAAGGAGAGTCGAACTGGCGGTTTCGTGCTGCACGATGTTACGAAAGACCATCTGGGTGTTTTGTTCGTGGATTTCTGATGGCTACTCAAATAGAGTATATTTGTGTACCTTGAGATCACTGAAATAAAAAACCCACCACAATCAAAATACTTTTTAACATCACTTGGAATTCAGAAGTTAGTTAAGAATGTGCCGTGGCCAAGCATGTCAGTGATGGAAGCTGTGTGTTTGTACGTTCAAAGCTGTACTGAGCACTGTTACTCGATCGGTAAATGTGTGTAAAGTTTGTTTTGTTTTCTCTGCAGCGTCTTTAGTTGTTCCTGCTGGCAGAACGATTCCCAATTTTACCACAGCAGAACTGGTATGTACCTGCAATTGTCTTAAAGGACATGCCATATGCTCCCAGCCTCCCCCCGCCCCAGTAAAGGGCAATAGATATAACTCATAAAAATCTTCTCGCTGAACAGGGAGATAAGGCGAGGAATGGGGAAAGCGGAATAGTACCTGTAGTGGTATAGGTTCCCATATTTATTTGGTCTACCACCCCTTTTTAGAAAAAAAATTACTTAGCACCTCTTAAAATCTTTTGTACTGTAAAATCTTTGAACTATAGCCCACAATCCTGGATTAAGTGCTTTTGCCGCTCCCCCTGGATCATTCCAGTGCCTCCTCCAGGGGGCGGTATTGTCCACTTTGGGAAACAATGCTCTGTCTCATAGATGTAGCCCAAACTCAGGCGAGCCAGAACTGACATTTTCTTGGCAGTTTTTCCGAACTTTCAGGGCAGTTAGCATCTGCCAAGATGACTCCTACAAAGTTAGAACAATTCTGAAGTTACTAGAATTGTCTACAGTGTATTAAACTGTATAATGTTACATATTTACTTGGTGGGTCATACATTTGGGGAGGGTGTTCGTTGTTGAACCACAGCAAATGTTTTCCTTTTGTTGAAGTAAAACATTCCGGTCACTATCTACCATGTGGAGTAGAGGTGAGAGTATATGAGGGATTTTCAGAAGGTTCATGGGAAAATGGTATGTAAAGATAATGGGATTTTTCCATGAAGGTTTTGAAGTACCGTCATAGAGATTTATTTCAATGTTTATATCATATTTTAATTAGTCAGTCTTTTGCTGATGCGTATTAAGATTATTTCCAGTTTTTTATATCACTCCAGTGAATATACATACATGTGTTTGTGCACTTTTGTGGAAATCAGAATAAATTCTTAGAAGTTGAATTTCTGGGTCAAAGGTCATATATGGTTTTGATTTTAATATATGTGTATTGCAAAATTATCCTCCCAGGGTGTTGTACCACTCTAAATTAATGAAAGCAGTGGTCTTAGAGAACTGAATTTTATCACAGCCTCACCAATATGGGATGTTACTAGCCTTTTAAAGGTTTGCAGATCTGATAGGCAAAAATGTTTGTTTTTTTATTTAGAGTTTTTTATTTTAAGATCCCACCAGGGATTACCATGAGTCAGACCTGGTTCAAGAGCAACTAATAATAATATCTAATCAGTTCCAAGTAAGAATTATGTATTATCATTTTGCCGACATTAAAATATTGTCAGTGATCCACTTATAGACAGAAAGACCTTTATCAACAGGTGTGTGGCCCTTGTATTTGACACTATGAGATTGAGGGACCTAGCATAGTTACCAGTTTTAGGAATTGATGTTCATGGTGTTCATGAAGACTTCATTGTTAAGAGTTGTAGAACAGACTTTCTTTTGATCCCTAATGGAATGACCTAAATGGAATATTAAAAAGCTGTTTCACGCAAAGAACTCAGCCCTAACAAACTTGTCACACTACTGTTTTGAATCAGATTTTTTGACTCCCTAGGAGACCAGGGGAGAAAGATACAAGCCTTTTCTAATTTCCTAATGTCAATGTCTCATATCTAGGGCACTTCAAACTCCAGTGCAAACCTTACTTTTCCTTCCAGTATTGGCTATCCTATCCACGTACCAGCTGGGGTGACGCTGCAAACTGCATCTGGTGAGAGCACACTTTGTTGTTCGCATTGTGAGTGACTTCTGGGAGATACGTTCCATGGTTGTCATAGTCTATATACTAGAAGTTATAAGAATTTTTAATATATACCCATTTTAATTGTAATAGTAAATGGCTGTTACTATTATCATGGCAGAAGCAATCACAAAAGACACTGTATTAGGTCTTGGCTTATATTTCATTCCAAATTCTGCTTTCGAACATTGTCTTGATGCTTTACATAGGTCTAGATATTATATATGTACTTGATCGGTCCTAACTAAATACTTTTGGATGGTGTTTTTATTTTCCCCCCACTTATTGAGCTACCATATATTTTCTCTAATTCAAGAGGGTTACTTACATTTTAACAGATAGACAATAAAATATCTGCGTGCCTGCTAGTTCTCATAAGGACCACAAGAGACAATCTGACCACCTTTCCCTCCTTTCTGATTGATAGTGACGTGGCATACAGAAAGAATGTCTGAGGCTTTGCAGGGTAACTAACCTCTAGCTTTGGGCTATTGTAAAGTTTAAGGAATATATCCAACGTGATGGTAAAAAAAAGAATTTCCTCTTTTCTCCTCCTTTAGCATTATTTTAGAGACAAGAGGGAGAAGACACTTGATCATTTTTGAAATTATTAAATGTTTTGGGTAACCCTTGCTTATAGTTGTTAGTGATATCCTAAATATCAGAAATGTGTTTTATATGATCCCCCCCAACCCTAAACAAAGCCCACTGTCATTGAGTCAATTCTGACTCATAGCGATCCTGTATGGGATTTCAGAGGCTGTAAGTCTTTATGAGAGTAGATAGCCTCAGCTTTCTCCCATGGAAAGGTGGGTTTGAACCACTGACCCTGCAATTAGTTTACCTGCTGGATTCTGCTTGTTGAAATCCCACAGCAGCCAGAGCTAGTAACACTCTAATTTATCAAACAGAGGAAAAGGATCACGTATTGATGGCCTGTTTATGTCTCAAAACGTACCATATGACCACTATTGGGAAAGGCTAGGGTTAAAGAAAAACATTAAAAGTTTAAAAGGAGAGTAATATGTATGCAAATGAGAGTAAAAGGCTGACGAATAAAGCAAGCACTTGTAGAGAGTCCTGCTGGCAGATTGGTGTTTTTCTTCCTGTTGTGCATGAGATTTATTTATTATTTTAAAGAAAAACGAGGGTGCTACTGACAGTTTTGCTTTCTCTATTTTCAGGCCACCTTTATAAAGTCAATGTACCAGTGATCGTGACGCAGACCCCTGGACTAGCGAGCGCCCCTCAGCACCCTCTTCATCAGCTGTTCCAGCCTTTCGGGCCGCCCTCAGTCATACAGACCGGCATTCCGCAGTTGAGCCCATCAGCGCTCCAAGTGACTACTGAAAAATCACAGAGGCTGGACACTGTGTTCCCACAGCCCACTCTGCTACAGTCCGGGATAGCGGATAGGAAACACCTAGGAAACGTCACCACTGACATATTTGTGCCGCCTGGAAATGAGCACAGAATCATGTCGGAAGCATTGTTGAGCCAGCAGGAAAGCCCTCAGTACATCAGTCTCCCAGGTGTTGTGTTTGCCCCGCAGATCCCTCCGATCGACGCGAACGTGGAGCCAGCGCTCGGTGTTTCCACCAGCACGACGCCAACCCTGCATGGTGGGCCCTTTGCGACAGGCCCCCAGGGGGCTGTGCACCAACACACACCTAATGCGCAGTGTTGTGTTCTTAAAAATAGGATGGATGGATGTGACTCTGTACAGGAGCCGAGACACACAGAGGAGCCTGTCAGCCTACCGATTTCCAAGAAGGTAGTTTATGTCCATCTTAATGGTATCAGGGGGCAGTGACCGGTGTTTAGCTAGCAAGTTAATCAGAAGTGTATGTATGTGTTTACTTGTTTTCTTGAAGAAGGCTGCTGCGTCCTATTGCTCTTCATATGTATCTGTTCATTCTTGAAATATTCATCCTCCGCATTTCTACACTTTTTACTTTAGTCAATGATTAGAATAGTTCTTTAAGGAAAGTACATGGGTTTTAAGATAACAGTCCATTTTACTTCATGGCTTTGTAAGAATTGTCACCCCCCTCCTTCCTGTTTGGCAGTTAAAAGTTAAAAGACCCAGATATCCATTGAGGTTTAAACAAATATTTTGAGGTAGTTCCTTGTCATATTTAATATACACAAGAAGAGTCCAAGGTGTTTATTCTTCCTTTACCCAGTTTTCTTGAACTTCCAGGTGGCAGTTTTTCTTTCATGACAAATTATTTTCCAGGATGTACTTTCTGTCCTGACCTGCTCAAATACTCGATTAATTTTGTTTGGAATTTAAATCACTAAATAATCACTTGCAATTCATGTTCTTCACTGAAAATAGGCAAGAGATACTAGTTTCCAAGGAATTCGTAGCAAGGGCAGAAGGATTCATAGAGAATTGTGAGTGGTAAAAATTGACAAAATGCCTTCCAGTATTTTTTTCCAAGTGGCTTATAGCTAATTCCTTTTATATAATTTAATGACACTTGGGAAATAATTAAAAGGTTATCTGGTTAACTAATGATTTCATGGTTCTCTAGAAAATTTAAAGCATTCAGAAATGTTCAGGTAGAACTTAGTTATCGGTTACTATAGATTTCAAAATGTTTTAAGAGGCTGGGAGGAATGGGAAGGGTACAGGGTACGCTGAAGGACAGTGAGCGGAGACCAGTACTCTGTAAAGCTGTTTGGCCTCATTTAGAATGTTTCAAACGTGTGCTGAAACCTGTTCAAGATGACTGTTTTCTGTTTTTATTTTTGGTACAAAGTGCTTAGGTTTAAATGCATTTTATTTTGAGCATCTTATCCCGGTCGTTTTCATTTCGGACATAACATTATAAATATTAGTGTGGGTTAAACTCACCATTATGAGCCATCTGGTTCTGCAGTGAAGTAAGTGGTCAGTTTTCATCATGTAGTTTGGGAGGCATTAGTGCCCCTGGCCTCTGTATGAACTCTGCGTGTTTTGGTGTGACGAGTCAAGGACTTACTCGACTGCTGCTCATGAGATGTCATCTTGTACTTTGTTCCAAAGTGGGGAAATAGATTAGTTAAGGGAGATTAATCAAGGATTGTTTTGGAAAGTAGTGGACAGAGTAGTTTGAAAGCATGAGCTCTGAAGCCACAGGAGGCTTAAAATGACAGATTCACCACTTACTAGCAGAGCTATGCAATGCTACTGAGTTATTCAATTGTAACTTATAAACAGCGCCATCTGCATGAATGTGAGGATGCTCATTTGAGAACAATATACAGAACATTTATAGTTTAGAGAAAAGACAAAGAAAGATGAGTGGTATTATGCTCTTGGGTCTGTCATATGTTGGAAAACTTATCACAGGACTATGAGCTTTAAAATAAATCTACACCTAAAAGAGGATCCCTGGTGACATAGTGGTTACATGTTAGGCTGTGAACTGCAAGGTCAGCAGTTTGAAACCACCAGCTGCTCCATGGGAGAAAGACGGCTCTTTCTACCTTTGAGAAGAGTGGCAGTCTTGGAATCCACAGGGCGAGTTCTGCCTTCT